AAGGAGATTGGCTTGTAGTTCTCTTTTTTAGTTGCGTCTTTCCCTGATTTGGGAATCAAAGTGATACTTGCTTCCAGGAATGAATTTGGAAGTATAGCTTCCCTTTCAATTTCATTGAAAAGTTTGAAGAGTAATGGCAGTAGTTCTTCTCTAAATGTCTTGTAAAATTTAGCTGTGAATCCATCAGGGCCTGGGCTTTTCTTTGTTGGTAAATTTTTAATTACATTTTCAATTTCACTGACTGTAATTGGAGTGTTTAAAATGTTTTTATCTTCTTTGTTCAACTTTGGTAATTCATAAGTATCTAAAAATCTGTCCATTTCTTCTGTGTTTTCCATTTTATTGGAGTACAGGTTCTCAAAGTAGGTGTTAATGATCCTCTGGATTTCTATTGGATCTGTTGTGACTTCGCCTTTTTCATTCCAGAATTGCATGGATCTGAGCCTTTTCTTTCCTTTTTTGATAAGATTAGCTAAGGGTTTGTCAATTTTATTTATTCTTCCAAAAACCAGCTCTTTGTTTCATTTATTTTTTGTATCATTTTCTTAGTTTCCATCGCATTGATTTCTGCTTGGATCTTTATAATTTCCTCTCTTGTTCGAGCTTTGGGTTTTTCTTGCTCTTGTTTTTCTAGGAGTCTAAGATTCATCATTAGGTTGTTTATTTGAGCCCGCTCTGTTTTCCTAGTGTGAGCATTCAATATTATGAATTTTCCCCATAGAACTGCTTTCATTGTGTCCCATAGATTCCTGTATGTTGTATTGGCATTTTCATTTATTTGTAAAAACTGTCTAATTTCTTCTTTAATTTCCTCTGTAATCCATTGATTGTTCAGGAGAGTGTTTTCAGTTTCCATGTGCTTGTGAAGTTCCTACAGTTTCTTATGCTATTGATCTCCAGCTGGATTGCACTATGATCTGATAATATACAGGGGATGACTTCAATTCCTTTGCATTTATTCAGACCTGTTCTGTGAGCCAATACGTGGTCTGTCTTGGAGAATAATTGATGTGCAGCCAAAAAGAATGTATATTCTGATTTTGTGGGGTGGAATACTGTATAGACATCTATTAAGTCCATGTGTTCCAAAGCTTGGTTCAGTTCTATTATTTTATTGTTGACTTTTTGCGTAGATGATCTGTCACTTTGTGATAGTGGGGTATTTAAATCCCCCACTAGAATTGTATTAGTGCTTATTTGGTTTTTCATGTTACTTAATATTTGTTTTATATAGTTGGGGGCATTTGTATTCGGTGCATATATGTTTATGATTGTCATCTCTTCCTCTTGAATTGTTCTCTTTACAAGGATGTAGTGACCTTCTTTGTCTCTCTTAATGAGTTTTGGTTTGAAATTTACTTTGTCCGCGAATAAGATTGATACCCCTGCTTTTTTCTGGGCTCCTGATGCGTGGAGAATTGTTTTCCATCCTTTCACTTTCAGTCTGTGGTCTTCCTTTTGTACTAGGTGTGTTTCTGGTATACAACATATTGTTGGATTTTGCTTCTTATTCTCTTTCTGCCAGTCTATTTCTCTTGAGTGGTGAATTGAGGCCATTAACATTGATGGTTATAACTGATATATTCTGACTTATTATTGTCATGTTATTGGCCTTTTGTTGACTCTTTTTACTTTTTCTCCCCTCTCCTTTTAGTTTCTTGCCTTGCCTATTTGATTTGGTCTGTTGGGCCTCTTGGTATTGTGACCTTCATTGCCCTTTTCTAGGATATTGTTTAGAATTCCTTGTAGCTCTGGTTTGGTGTTCATGAAGTTTCTCAGGTGTTCTTTATTGTGGAAGTATCTTATTTCCCCGTCTATTTTGAAAGAGAGTTTTGCAGGATACATCAGTCTAGGTTGGAAGTTGTTTTCTTTTAGGACTTAAAATACCTCACTCCATGCTCTCCTTAACCTAAGGGCTTGTGTTGAAAAGTCTGCTGTGATTCTAATGGGCTTTCCTTTGCATGTGATTTGTTTCTTTTCTCTTACTGCTTGTAGTATTTTGTTCTTCTGTTGGATTTCTGGAATCTTGATTGTTATATGTCTAGGTGTAGATTTCTTTTTTTATCGTGGCTAGTTGGAGTCCTATATGCCTCACTTAACTGTATGTGTAATTCTTCCCTTCTGTTTGGGAAGTTTTCTGTCATTAATTCTGTGAAGAGCTTTTTTAAGTCATTTGTGTTTTCTCCTTCTATTTCCTGGATTCCTATCAGTCTTATGTTATTTTTCTTTGCATCGTCTAGAAGTTGTTGGATCGATTTCTCATGATCCCTTACTGTTTTTGAGAGACCTTTTTTTTCGTGGTCACTGACTACAATCCTATCTTCTATATCTGAAATTCTATCTTCGCAGTTTGTTATTTTGTTGTGTACACTTTAAATAGGGTTTTTAATCTCCTGGATATCTGTTTGAATCTGTTTTATGGATTCCATTTCTTTCCTCTGTTGGGCATTCATTGTTTCCATTTCTTTCTTATGCTGAGTCTTCATGGCTTCTATCATGGTCTTGAGCTCATCTATTTTTTTGTCAGTTTCTGTTCTAGAGTCTCGAATCATGACTTCCATTTTGCTCACCATCTCTGGTTAACTGGGGAATTATTTCTGATTTGAATTTTTCTAGAGCTTGATTGATCTGTTTTGTTACCTCCTGTGCTATGGGTCCAGGGTGTCCTGCTGGTTCACTATCAGACTTTTCATCCTCATTTGCCCTACTGTTTGCCATTGGTGAACTGGAAGTGTCTTTGTGACTTGCTTAAGTGTTTTCTCATTTTTATTTTTGTTGTTGGGTTATCCTTGGTTTAATTTCTGGGTTATTACTTAAATCTTCTTGATACAGTTGTGTTTTAGCTTTTGAATCTCTAATGGCTCATAGACATCCTCATTTTCATAATATTGGAGAAAACAACTCATTAAATCAGTCACAATCCTTTATCCCTTGATACATTTGCGGCCCAATAGGATCAAGCAGAGCTTGCAAATTGACCACTTGTGGTAGTCATTAATCTATCACCTTTAAACCATGTGAATTAAATTAATATCAAGAAGCAGCCCAAAATATGTCTGCAGTGAATACGCTTTTCAATATAGCATCTTTACCATTTAGGATGGGGGCTTAGACTGAGTTAGGACGACAGGAGTAGATAAGTGAAAGAATTTGAGAAGGTTTCAAGTGAAGCCAGAGTACGTAGAATGACCATACTATCTTTATGAAACTATTAACTTCAAAGGGGATAGACAGAGTGCAGGAATAAGGACAAGAATATAGCCCCTTATCAGTAACAGGGGCTTGCCTTCCCTTGAAGCTACAGAGCCGTGAGTGAGGTAAAATGACAGGAAAAAAGTACATTAAAAAAAGAAAAAATAATAAAAGAAGAAGTCTGAGTTAGGGCAGGAGCAGGAATAAAAAGGGAGATGAGGGATAATATGGTGGAGCAAGAGACTGAGTTGGAGAGAGAGGACAGAAAAAGGAAAGAAATTGTAGGGTGGAATAAGGAACATTTGAAGGGCCTCTTTCAGACTATGTCTCTCTTGTCATATTATACCACGTGTACAGCCTTGTGCAGAATCAAATCCCCTGATCTCAGCTAGCCAATGGCAGGTCCCTGCAACACAGACTGACCTCAGCCCACAAGGCCTAAATTGAGTTTCCCAACCCACAGGGTTGAATTCCACTCAGTTCTATTACAGGTTTCCTCTTCCCTTTCTTTAAAGATGTTCAAAGTAGGGAGGTCAGAAAAATACCCTTCATGACCACCTATGGCTCTGCAGAGTGGGTCCAAGTATTGCCCCAGTCAGGAGGTTTGAGAATGGTGGGGGCAGGTTGTGTGGGCACTTACCTTCCTTACTGAATCTGGTGGCGCGCAGTCCCAGATAATAATTTTTAAAGACAGTTGTGTGTGTGGTTTGCTTTCTATATGAACAATGATGTGGAAAAACCTCAATCCAGAAGTGTCATTAGCTGTATACTATATTAGAATAGTGACATTGGAGTTAAATACTCTCAACTCTGCCACGAAAATCCTCTGTGATTGGGGGCAAGTTAAAGTCCCTCCACAAGTGTGAGGTGGGAAGAGTGAGCGTGCAGTGGAGTGAATGTGACGCCTCTGGAGACGGTGTCGGCGGTGTCATGTAAAGGCCTAGCGCGGCATGATGATGTTCAGTATCCCTCTCTCTCTCCCTGTCTCTCCATCTTCCTAATCGTATTTATCAAAGTGTCCGTGTGGAGGCAACTCTCTGGCACCATGCGCATCTTACGTCACGTGCCAGGAACAGTTGATTCGAAATGCCACTATACAGCAAAATCAGACTGCTGCACGGAACACTTCAGTACCTGTTCTGAATTTCTTTCCTAACCTTGTATTATAACCTCTTTCCTCTTTGGAGAGGTCAGCAGGAGCCGCTGCGGCTGTCTCTTGTCAACTTTTCTTTATTTTTTGATAGTGAGGATTGAACCTAGCACTGAACTGTATGCCCAGCACTTTTTTAATAATTTGATAGTCTCACTAAATCACTGTTGCTCAGGCTGGCCTTTGAACTTGGAATCCTCCTGCCTCTGCCTCCCAGAGTGCTAGGACTATAGACAGGCATGCACCACCACACCTGGCTTCTTTTCACCTTTTTTTGGCATGTTTATGTGTGTGTGTGCCTGTGTGCGTGTGCATCCCAGGAGAATGCAATGTCACCTTCTTGTCACTTTTAGTAATTTTTTTCTTTATCTTTGGTTTGTTTTGCTGTACTAGGGATAGAACACAGGACTTCGTGTGCTTTAGGCAAGTGCTTTACCACTGAGCCACGTCCTCAGGGCCCTCTTATTAATTTTAAATTGCTAAAACCTACCTGAAGAAGATAGGATTGACCCTGTACTTCACTAACATTCCTTTTCAAGAGACGGGGTGACTGCTTTCTAGTCTGCTTCATGTAGTTTTCTATGCTCATGTACACACACATGTGTGTGTACCTAATATCTAGCTTATTGCTCGTTTGTATCCTTATCTGAAAACCCAGCTATAACATGTTTGGACACTTCAAGTTCTGCATTACTTTATGTGGAGGATATGTTTTATTTAAGGATCCACTGTCAGTTAACCAAGGTCTTGGCATTTTATGTACATTATTTGGCATTCTTGCCTATACTCACTTTAAGCTCAGTGAACAGGAAGGAAATAAGAGTAAACTTGTACAACGTCCTTGAGTTTTTGTGGAGAAAAGAATTTTGCCCCAAGACAAAAAATGTTAAGTAAGTTACTTTCAAAAATGAAAAAAATTGCAGTGTAAAATTTACTGGTTTATAAGAATAAGTAATACAAATGTATTCACAAGTGTGACTTTTTTGACGGTGACAAAGTTTATTTGTAAAAGTGAAGAGTGAAGGAGAAACTGACTCTACAGAGTGAGCTTGGGTTGAAGAATGAGGAAAAGGCAATATCAAAGAACACCCGGGAGCCAAGCCCAAGTCTGGTGGTGCATGCCTGTAATCCCAGCACTTGGGAGGCAGAAGCAGGAATATTGCCGTGAATTCGAGGCTAGCCCGAACCACATAGCAAGACTCTGTCTCGAACACTACCACCCCGCCCAAGAAAAAGAGAGAGGACACCCCGGAGGAAGCAGGGCAGATTGTCCTTAGGAAAGCCACAGTAGCGAGCTTTATCTGGTAATTCCTTCTAAAAGTGGCTTGCCATGTTACTGGTTTTGGGTTGCTCATCTCTTCTTGTGGAGTTAGATTCCATGTTCTCATCTCAAAGAATTGAGTGAATGTGCAAAAAGTAGTGACAAAGTTCATTTGAAAAAGTAGAAGTGAAAAGTGAAGGAAAAACTGGCTTTGCACAGCGAGGGTAGGCTGAGTAAAAGAAGAAGTCAAAATAAAAGGACAGAGCAGACTGTCATGAGGAAAGGCACAATAGCCACAAATACAACTTTCTTAGTACCTTTTTAAAAAATTAATTCTCAAGAACTTAAGCTGGGCCCGGTTGGTGCACAACTGTAATCCCAGCATTTGGGACACTGAAGCAGGGATATTGCAAGTTTGAGGCGAGCCTGGAATCTGTCTCCAAAAACAATTTTTTTTTAATCTCAAAAACCACAATGGTTTGTGCTTCTTTTCAAAGATGATTATAGGAAATACATATAGGACAGTGCAGTTACACCAAGTGAAATACATGAGAAGTAAAGTTCTGTAATAGTAATAAAGGATTCTGTATTCCAGTACTACAGAAGTTTTTTTTTTAGTATTGGTGTTCTTCTTTGGAAGGGTGTGTAAGACCCCTCTGCTTGCTAGTAGATGGTTTTCCACTGTGAGATGTATTATAATTTTAGTCATAGTGTTTAAGGGGTGGTGGGGCTCAAGCCCAGAGCCTTGCACGTGCAAGATAAATACCCTGCTACCAAGTTATACTTGTACCCCTGAAATCACATTTGAAAAAGGAATAATTTTTTGAGATATGAAGAAGATACATGATTTTCAATTAAGCAAATACTATATAGTGCCACATATTTAATGCAAAATGTATTTCTGCCTTCCAGTATCTTGACATTTGAATATTGAACAATTTTTAACTTCAAATAAGTTTAAATTGAGAGATTATTCCTCTGATAATTCTTTTTCTAAACATTATGAACTTTCTGTGAAAAAGCAACATAAGAAAACAGCTACATGTACAAAAACATACCTTCAAAAAGTGATAAATTTTGGTATATGTCTTATCACAATAACAAACATATACATATCTTTTAGATATTTTTTGAATTTTTTCCCACCTGGCTCATTTAAAGTGAAAAGCTTCACTTTTAAGTATTCTTTGGTTCTCAGTTTACAAAGATACCTTTTACTGTGCTGAGGACAGAGTACCTCACTTCTGCTATGTAAGCCTCAAGTATTTTGTGTATCTAGGAAGCTTTCTCTGGGTATGTTTAAGTTAGCATACAGTTACTTCCCAGAAGCTGGAGAAAAGTATTCACAGTAAGGATTATTTGATTTCATCCCAGTGAGTACTAAAAACTGAGTTGATTTGTGCTGTGTACAAATTCTTAGTTGTAAATAAAATTGAGGGCAGTGTAGGGGATTATAATAAATGAATGATGTCAGCAGAAAAATGGAGCAAGTTGGGTAAGGGTGTGTGTATATTAATGAATAAAAAGTGCACTGCTAAAATCTTGAGTGTGTTGTTTTTGCCCTGAAGACAATCACATTGCAAAGAAATCCTTGGGGAAAAAATGCCCAGATGACTGGGACCAAGCAGAGAGGCAAGCCAGATGCTGTGCTTTGGAAGAAAACACGCTGTCCTTTTGTTAACCATATAACTGGACTTATTTTTTTATCCTGTGTTAAATGACTTAAGTTTTGTCTGTCACCAATAAAAAGACCCTCTTTTTTTTAACTTTTGTCTTGCATATTTGAGCCAGTGAAAGGAAGATAGCATGTGTGTGTGTGTGTGCGTCCTGCTCACAGATATACAGGATACAATAAACAATTCCATATCCCTTTTAAAATGACATGAGTCCCTGCCTGGCAAGTACAAGGTTCTGAGTTCGATCCTCAATGCAAAAAAAAAAAAAAAAAAAA